TCCCCACTCCTGGGGGAAGGATATTGCAAAATCTCCATTCCCACTCCATTCTGGGACCAGCCAGAGATGGTATTTGCCAGTTCTCTGAACTACTCAAAATTTCCGCTACCGGTTCTCCAGAACCTGTCAGAACCTGCTGGATTTCACCCCTGGATTTATCACCTTGAGTAGCAATGGCCATTGCATTTTTTATTTTGCTTTAAAGTTTGAAGAAACTGAAAAAAAAAAAAACTCAACTGCGCTTGGCAATTAGTTTCTCCTGATATTTTCTCAGTCTTAAAACATTGTATATATGACAAAACATCCCACATTCCAAAGTTAAGTCTTGAATATGAAATAAAAAAACCCCACCACCCCCATTTTGTTTCTTTCTTGCTTCAACGTCAGGGTCTATCAACTTGCTTCTAACACTCAGGCATCTTTCAATTGGTTTGTTATAGGCTTTGATAAAATTCATAGCGCCACGATGTTATGTTACCTAATAAAATAGCAAGCATCATTTTATCATTGATGTCACTGAAGATGAGCAAGGATGATGGAGAGTCAGTTAAGGACAAAGTTATTATGCTCTAAGAAAAATGCTGTTATCAGCCTGGTAGGGAAGGTTAGGGCTGCTTTAAATTCCTTGCTACAAGGAAGTTACAATTTTGTTTTAATCAGTGATGGGTTGCCCCCGGTTCGGACCGGTTCTATAGAACCGGTAGTAAAACCGGCGGGAGGCTCTGCCCACTGACCCTGACATCATCAGAAGCGATCTGCGCACGAAGCTTCTGAGCATGAGCAGAAGTAAGGCGCGCGTGATCCCGTTGTGAACCGGTAGTAAAGGTAAGTAGAACCCACCCCTGGTTTTAATGTAATACCATCCCTATCTGTTGAGCCTTCTTGAATTGTATTTACTTGGGCTCTTTGTTGAGAGTTGCTTCTTTTGGGTCAGGCTGACAAAAGGTGTACTATGCATACAATTAATGAGGGACATTTGATGCTGCTTTATGTTGTTCGTTGGCCGTTCACGGTTCTATTTGTCAAGGCAGATCAGGTTGCAGAGGGGTTCTTAAATGTTGTTTTATTGTGGCTAGGGGAATTTAAAACTGTTTATGGCTTTCTTTAATCACTTTGTATAATTTTTGTAGGCTAAATAATAACACTCTACATTGTGCTTCTTGTAGTTGGTTTAGAACTAAAGCAGGAGTGTCAAACTGAAGGCCCGCAGGCCGGATCCAGTCCACAGGATCCTTAAATCTGGCCCGCAGGGCCAGCCTGGAAATATCAAAGGACCAGCCCATGGTGCCTCTCCTGGCCAAAATGGGCTGGGGGGGGGGGCACATGCGGCCTCTGCACAGCCTCCGTTTTTGGCCGGCAGAGTGCTGCTGGAGACTAGGGAGGCCAAAATGGGCTGGGGGGGGGGCACATGCGGCCTCTGCACAGCCTCCGTTTTTGGCCAGCAGAGTGCTGCTGGAGGTTAGGGAGGCCAAAAATGGGCTGCGTGGAGCTTCTGCATGGCCTGCTTTCAGCTGGCAGAGTGCTGCAGGAGGACTGGATTGGACTGCATTACAATTATGTGGCCTCCTGGAAGTGCCTGATCTGAAAACCAGCAACATCCTATGTTAATTCTACAGTTTAATGCCAGATTTTACATACTGTAGGTCCATTTAATCTATAATCCACAAATCTATAATTGACAGCCATTTCTATTTACTATCCTGGAAATTTACCTCCGCTGTTAGGTCTTGTATTATCATGTTACTTATGCTATTTAGTTGAACAATAAAAATACAATAGTATAAATAGCTTTTCGGCCTGGAAAAGCAATTTACTATTAAACAATGGGGTATAAATTTAGAAATAAAAAGTTTAGTGGGGTATCAAGAATAAGTAATAAATGTTTGCCAGCAATATCTGATAGAAGAGATAGGAAAATGGTTATAATAAAGAACTGTGGAAAGAAATAAGAGAAGGAAAAAAATGCATCTTGAGCCTGTCAAATGCCCGCCATGGCCACGCCACACACCCTGGCCCTCCGAGGTCAAACACAACCCTGATGTGGCCCTCAATAAAATTGAGTTTGACACCCCTGAACTAAACAAATAACAACAGAGGAACAAAGGTTGTTAACATTATTTGGTATGGTGCATTACTCAAAATGTTTTGAACTTTGTGGTTCAGAAACATGGAATTCTCAGAAATTCGTCAAGTGAAGGCATTTTTCTTCAAGTTCTGAACAATTTTTTAAAATCCATTTTATGTATCTTTCTAAATTTTCTTTGTCTCAATGGTATTTTAAAGTGTGGGAAATAGCATTATCTTAAAAATAGCAAAACAGCAACAATTTTAAAGATCTCATCAATGAATAATTATTTTACTATTATTGTTATTATTTGCATTATTCATATTTTTTTCTTTATCATTGCCTTAAAAATTGTTTTCCTGTTAGCAATATAGAATTCAGAAATTCAAAAGATATGAATGTACTCTACAGGTATTTTGTTGTTATTATTAAATTCGGTTTTTATTTTTCCTAAATGATTCTATTATAATGGTAGTGGTTATAATATTGGTAAGTAGTAGTAATAGTAACTGTATTTTTATTCTGCCTGAATTCTTGAAGACAAGTTAAGATCATAGTCAACTGATCAAAGAAATAAATAGAAATAAAAATTTAATATTCAGAAAGTCCTTAATTCTTAATACTAATGGTTTATTAGTATCAATAAAATAAATAATTTTGTTATGCCCATGATATCTACGTGCCTATTGAAAAAACTATAAAGTTCATATTAACAAAACTACATTGTAATTCAGAATTCTGAATATTTCATTTTGAGACAGCGGGAGAAACCTCTTCATTTCTGCCCTCTGCTTCTATACCTTTATTTGTTCATCTAATTTCAGTACAGTCTCTACTAATGCCTGTATATTCATTCCATGACCTATTTTCATGTTTCTGGCATTACTTCCTTCTCCCCCCCCCAAATAAATAAATAAATAAATAAATAAATAAATAAATAAATAAATAAAATAAATAAATAAATAAATAAATAAATAAATAAATAAATAAATAAATAAATAATAAATAAATAAATAAATAAATAAATAAATAAATAAATAAATAAATGGAGGTATATAGGAAAGGTATGGGTGGCATGCTTTTAAATTTAGCTAAAACAAGTTGCCCAGATACAATAATCAGATTAATATGCAGTATTCAGGTTCAGGAACAAAAATAGATCTATTCCTGATCCTCCCTCTCTTCAACTGAGCTGACAAAGTATTTTATTAACCCAAGGACTTGCCTAAAGCTATTATTCTTTGATGTCCTTTAGCTAAATCTCAGGAAGATAGTCCATCAAATTTATATACACATTGGCTGTGGGAAAAGTGCTATGCTCACATATGCAGGAGAGCCAAAATACATCTTCTAAATCATTTTTGAAGAATTCAAAAGCTTCAAGATAGTATATATACTATTTGTGTTACATATGCCCTTTTAATTTACCTCCTTTTTCTACACTATTTTGCCCCTTTTTCTTAAGTTTCTGATCTAAGACTGATAAAGATATGAATAGGGAGCCCAAGAACAGCCATTTCAGACTGATCCCACTGAAAATCACAAGCTGATTGACTCATATGATTTGTTATCAATTTACATCAAAATTTGTGAACAAATTGAATATTAATACGTTACGTTATATAATGAATCTAGTATAGGGGTGGGTTCCACTTACCTTTGCTACCGGTTTGCAACGGGAGCACGCACATGCCCATGCTCGCTTCACTCGCGTGTGGCACTTCTGCGCATGTGCAGAGCATCCGTGATGACGTCAGGGCGGGTGGGTGGAGCCTCCCACCACCATTACTACTGGTTTGCAAGATCCGGACTGAACTGGTAGCAACCCACCACTGATCTGGTACATATACTTGTCCCTCAATTTCTCTCAAATAGTGAAAAGCTAGAATTAAGTAATTTAAGAATAGATAAAGGCAGGATATATTTTAATGAAAACATATGTATTAATAGTAGAATTACAAGGATTGTAAAATATGTAAAAAATGATTAACACCACGTCTTTGATTATTGGAGTGAAAGGTGAAGGGGAAAAAAAAGAGGGCTAAAATAGAGGTAGAAATAAGAGGGGAAAAATAGTAAAAACAGATATTAAGATGATACAATGGATGGAAGAACTATGAGAAGGTTTAGAATTGAAGGGTGATAGTAGAAGTAGATAGTAGAAGATAGTAGATAGTAGAAGATAGTAGATAGTAGAAGATAGTAGAAGTCATGTGTCAGTATGTGTCAGTAAAATTGAAAATGAAATGTAATTATTATTAGAAGAAAAAAAATCTCTCAAATGTGTGAAGCATTCTCGGAGGCCTTTCAGATTTTTAAAGAATGCTTATTTTAACCTTATTTTATTACCGTCAAGTATAGAGGATCCAGGTACTTCCTGTTTTTTTATGCTACCTGTTTGTGCACCCTTCCTGATTACCAAATTTTTTGACCTGAAAAAAGCTTGCAGGAAAAGATCATTTAAAATGTCTTCCCTGGGGACTGAATTGCACCAGTGATCCTGCCAAGTGCCAGAGAAAGTTTTGTACAATATATATCCTAAATTTTTATATATGTGTGTGTTTGTGTGTGTGTGTGTGTGTGTGTCTGTGTGTGTGTGTGTCCTAAATTGTGTAAATATATATATCTATATGTCTATATATATATGTATATATATATATATATATATGTGTGTGTGTGTATATATATATATATATGTTTTTACACAATTTAGGACAGCTTATAAATAAGGGAAGTGCAAGAACACTGATGATCATTTCATCAATTGCTTTTCAACTAAATTTCATTTTCATTAAATTGAAGAATGGTTTTAAAAAGGCAAAATAAACTTGAGCATGCTACTTGCAAGCCAGTCTCAACTCAATGCAGTTCAAAATTAAGAGAGAAGAGTTTAAATGTCATTCAGCAACCACCTTTTTAAACATTTATTTGACAGTGATTCCTGAATTTATTACTCAAGTCAACACTGCACTGGAAAACTTAAGCAGGAATACGATTCATCTGTTTGATGATAATCAATTTGTTGACATCTCTAAGAAGATTTACGACACAGTTCATGACATTAGATGTTCAGTTATGATGATTCGGGTAAGTGTTTGATTCTTTCATTCATTTCTAATTAACAGATGTGTCATTAATATTGCTATGCAACATTAATACGGGCAGAAACTAAACAAAAATAATGTGGAAATAGAAGTTTCAGGGGTATTTTTTCAGTATAATAAAAAGTATTAGAATGCTGCTGAATAAAATCATATTATTGCATCATGGATGTACTATATCTACTACAGGTAAGAGAAATGCACTGTAAATTTCTTCCCGATGTCCCAGGACTTTTCTTGTTTCTTTAAATATATACTGTAAATAAATAATGATGGGAAATAGCACTTCAAACTGTAAATGTATCTTATTTCTAAATATTCCCCGCATGGAATCAGCATGTGGGTACAGCAGAGGCTATTCTCCCTTATAGTAATGTATAAATCAATCACTGGGATTCAGATACCCACAGGCCATGCACTGGGCTAGAGCCGTATTCAGATTCACTCCCAGTGTTGTGGCCCGTCAGCAGCCTGTGCAGTTAGTATCTCGACAGCGAGGAGGCTGGTGTGGTGCTGCGCCAGCAGCCTGTGTAGCTGGCACTCGAGTCAAACAATGAGGAGGCTGGAGAAGATGTGGTGCCAGAGGCGGGGATTCAGCCAGGGCCTTAAGAACCTCCAGAAGCTCCCATAAGTGAAGAGGAAGAAGAGGAGGAGCCTCTTCTCGATGCACGAGCGCGCAGAGCTGTTAAAAGGCAGGAGTGGCTCCTCAGGAGGAGGTCTCCTCAAGAGTAAGGCTTGGGGCTAATTGGCCACTCCCCTATTTAAGGAAGGACGACAACTGATGCAATTTGCAGGAAACAACTTCGTTCATATTCCTTCGCATTTTGATTCCAGAAACGTTTGATTCAGCTCTTGTTTCTCTCTTGTCAGTTTTCCTGCAAATTGCTTCTGGGCATTCTGCCAACCACAGTAAGATTACGGTTATCTGAAATACTGTGCCTCAGAATTGAGTTATTATTCTTTGGATTCTTTTTGGCTGTTAATGAAGTTAAATTAACAGCCCTTGTTCAGAAAAGACTGATTTAAACTGTACTTGTGTTCGAACTGTCATATGTAAATGCCTTATTCTATAATGTGTAAATAGTATATGAATGGGATATCAGGGGTTAACTTATCCTTCTATTCTTAATGTATTCATATTTCACCACTCCCTCATATAGCTCCACTCACTGTATATATAAGGAGCCACCTTCACCCTTTTCCTTGCTTCTATCTGTGAATATTCAGTGAATATAGAATGCCTATTGTAAATAAAAGGAAGTATATTTAAACCTTTAACTCTTACTATTATTATTGAGTCTGATCCTAAAAATATTGCAACAAGCTGGTAGCAGAGGATGGTTAATTGACTCAATAAAAACTTAAAAATGTCTAAGAAAGATAGGCCCAACACCAGGGCCTACAGCAAAGAAATAGAAACAGAAAAAGAAATAATCAACGAATCCACAAACGCAATTTCGAGAGAATCCGAAGAATACATCACTGAAGACGAAGAAATAAGAGATGAAAATGATGACCAGGAAGAAATCGAAATAGAGAATAACGAACTCAGGTCAGAGATATTAAAACTATTAAAAAGCCAGAAGAATGATGAAAGCCTCATCGCGAACCTCCAAGAAATGCTAAAGAACAGCGGAGCAGCGAGAGAGAAAAACATCACTAATGAGAAATCTAAAGACACAAAAATAGTGAGTAATACGACTGCAGAGAAAGCCATTACGAAGAAGAAAAAATGTGCTCCGGCGCGAAATTTTGAATGGCAGCCATCTTGGTTTCAACAGACCTCCGAGATGAGCGAAGCAGAGCCAATCAAAATGCTCAGTTCAAAATTTCTGGCGCGAAAAACGTTATCAGACAACGAAAATGAAAAAGAGGATTCAAACTCATCGGAAGAGTCAGAAACAGAAAGTGAAGATGACCCAACAAGATCCCAAGTAAAGTCAGCAATGAAGACACTTTTTGCTGCATTTGGGCCAAAACTAAAAATTACCAAAGAGCCACCGAAGAAGCGAGCGAGCAAGCCGACACCTCAAGACCTGCCCGCTCCCATCCTGACTTCGAGAGCGACGACGCCCGAACCCAGAGAGCCTTGTCGATTCCGTCCTACACCACAGACCGAAGCAAGTGCCAACGCCCCCAAAAGAAAAAGAAGAGCAGCTGCCGTCATCAGAACTCCCAAGGCCGAACCAGAGACCGACTCGTCTGAAGAGGAGCGGAGCGAACGAGCCGCAATGGAGAGAACCTTCCACGACGACGCCGAAGAAGAAATGAACAACGCGCATGCGCGAAACTATGCAGACGGTCCGGGAAGACATGAACTGGCGAGAGAACCGCGCAGACTCGTTGCGAGCATCCCCATGCCGTTTTGCAATTTTCTACACTTGCGAGACCACGGACTACCTCAGGTTGTAAGTAATGGACAAAATAATGTGGGAAACTTACCCAGCGACTTCCCAAAACTAAGGGTTGATGGCATTAATTTGCAAGAATGGTATCAACAGCTCCAGGTTATATTTATGAAAGAAAATTTACTATTTTTTATCACTAGTCCCCCAAAAAGACCTTGGACTTTAAAAATAGATTGTTTACACCATAGGGCATTTTTCTTAATAATATCTAGTGTGTCTCCTGCAATGTATCATAGCATCAAACCAAACCTAACTGTTTCAGAAATTATTCAATGCATGTTTAATTTGTTTCACAGCGACAGTGTAGCCACCACCACAAGAATGTCTAAGGATTTCTTTTCATCTAGGGTGAAACCAGGGGTTTCTATAAGTGAGCATTTGATATCTTTAAACAAAATAAGAGCTGAACTGCATTTGAGGGGGGAGGTGATTTCAGACCAAACAATGAAAAGTGTTATTATCAATTCACTTGATTCATCATGGGATAGTTTTATGTCACATTTAGACACTATCAATCTAGGATATTTATCCATAGAAAGTCTATCCAACAAATTGATAGCAGAAGACAATTCAAGAAAAAATCGTACTAGCAATCACACAGAGCACAAACCTTTTAGGAAAGTAGCTTTCCAAGACAAATATAATGAAACACTTAAATGTCACAATTGTGGATCCAGGGAACACAATAGAAGAGATTGTCCCAAAATTTCAAAGGAAAGACATAGGTCAGAATATAGGAACAAATACAATTATAGACAGTCTTCCACCAAATTACAGAGAAAATAGAGGGGGCAGAGAAAATTCAAAGGATAGAAAATCTGGTTCACTGAATGGACTAAATAAACAAGACAACGCTAAAATACAACAAAATGAGAACAACAGTTGGCTTATTGATTCTGGAGCAACTAATCACACCACTAATAACAAAAATATATTGTCTTCATTTACAGAAGATAAATTTGTAATAAAGGTAGCTAACCAAGAAAAGGTTCAAGTATTAGGCAGAGGGAACGTAACCTTGCCTGGTCTAGGAAAAATAGAGGGGGTATTATTAATACCTGAAATACCTCATAACATACTAAGTGCCATAAAACTAAGTAGAGACTCTGACATTAATATAGTTTTCTCAAAGGGAAAAGCGACTTTGGAGAAGAATAAAATAAATGTAGGCACTGTGATGATTAAAGGAGGCCTACCTTATCTGATAACAAAGGAAGAATGGTTGCATAACATTGATTCAAATATAGAAGATTGTATTGAAGCAGATGATGAAAATATTAGCAACAGTGACAATGATGAATGTAAAATATCTCATGATCATGCAGATGCACACAAAGAAAAAAAACCAAAAATAGGTAAGCCAATTCATGATGAGTGTGCTCACATCTTACATAGGAAGTTAGGACATGCCAGTTTTCCTGTAGTGCAAAAAATGATTGAACACGCAGAAGGTGTCAAAATAAAAAATTGTGAAAACTATTTGGAATGCTCAGTATGTAAATCTACAAAACTAAAAACTAGTCCCAGGCCAAGAAAATCTACCAGAACAACTAACAAAATTTTTGACTTAGTACACATGGACCTAGTTGGCCCATTAACTCCATCGATCACTTATAGAAAACGTTACTTCCTGACAATAGTAGACGATTATAGCCGCTATGGGTTTGTTTACACATTAAAACATAAAGATAAAACAATTATTGGTACCAGGTGGATATATAAAATTAAGAACTTAGAAGGAGGCAATACTCTATACAAAGCTAGATTAGTTGCACAAGGTTATGCACAGAAATATCCGGAGGACTATACTGAAACGTATTCCCCCACAGTAAGAACTGAGAGTGTCAAAACAGCTCTAGTGGTAGCATCAGCACTCAACCTTGATGTATTTCAATATGACATACAGACTGCGTATCTACACGCGAAACTAGATAAGGAAATATATGTAAGAGCACCTCACAGTCAGTACACCAACAAAAATGAAATTTGGCTGTTAAACAAAAATTTATACGGGTTAAAACAATCAGGTAAAAGATGGTATGATTGTTTAGTAAAAGTACTTAAGACCATGGATTTCAATGCTACCACTGCTGATAACTGTTTCTTTGTCAAAAAGGGTGATAATTACACTGAATTTGTGTTGATTTATGTAGATGACATTTTGTATATAGGAAAACACAAAGAGAGAAGAGAAACTTTTGTAAATAAGTTAAATGAACATTTCTCGTTGAAATCTCTAGGTAAAGTGAACAAATATCTTGGTGTCCAAATTAATAAGACTAGAAAGGGATTCAAACTTACTCAGAGAGATAAGATTATAGAACTTTTAAATAAATGCAATTTAAACAATGCCAAACCTTGTGATACTCCTATGCAAACTGATTTTCTTAGAAATACTGATGAATCTTCTCCTGAATTCAAAGATAACACATTTTATAGATCAATCATAGGTTCACTTCTTTATATATCTAATTGGACTAGACCAGATATCGCCTTACCACTCAATTTATTATCCAGACACGTCAGCAAACCAACAATGTATCACTGGGAAGCTGTTAAAAGGATTTTAAGATATCTG